TACATACCTTATTTTATCATTAAAACTATAATTCTGAAAAGGGGTCCATACAGGATACATGAAAAAGATTAAGAACCCCTGATCTAGCCCAATGTGTTCCTGAATAAAATCACAGAATTTTAGAGTTGGAGGGGATGTCAGTGTTTATCTAGTCCAAACATATCCAGAAGGAGTCTCAACTCTTAAAATACTCAACAATTCAACATCCAGGTTCTGCCTGAAGACTTCCAATGAAGAGGAACCTGTCACCTTTGGCTCTGCCCTTTGGGGTCCAACAGTTCAAGTTTAAGCCCTCTTCTACATGACTGCCTTCATGTTCCTGAGTCTTTTCTCCAGGCTTTACATCCCCAGTTCCTTCAGCCGATACACATATGACACAAATCAAGCTTCTTCACTATTCTGGTTACCATTCTCTGCACATTCACCAGCTAATCAGCATCCTTGCTAAAGTGTAGCACCTGAAAACACAGTATTGACAATGTGTTCTGACCAAGGCACTTCCTTTCCTTGGAACCCATGTATGTCTCTCTTAACAGACTAAAATTACAAAGAGGTTTTTGGCTCCCATATCACACTATTAACTCACATCGAGCTTGAAGTACTCTAAAACCCTCAGATTTTTTTAAAGCAAACTGCTATCTAATTATGCCTCTCTTCCCATTCTGTAGTAGTGAAGCTGATTTTTTTTAACCCAAGGGACAGGGATATATCCCCATAAATTCGACCCAATACTCTGTCCAGAAATATCACACTCCAGAGTGCTGTTTGAATCAAATTTAAATGTAATTGGGAAAAGTTTAACAAAATAAATTAAAATACAGTACAACACCTATAATATTAATTTGTGGTTTTCTGATTCAATATGTGGTCTGCAGGAATCCATTTCTATATGATGATTACACTGGTCTATACTCTCAGTGCTTCTTAAACTGTGGGTCAAGACACAGTTTAAGAAGCACTGAAGGGGTCACAAGTGGAAAAAGTTTAAGAAGCTCTGGACTCTACAGAATTCTTCTCATCTTTGCTACTGCTGTTGTTATTCATTCATTTCAGTAGTATCTGACATTTCCATTTGGGATTTTCCTGGCAAAAATCCTAGAGTGGTTTGCCATTTCCTTCTTCAGCTCATTTTACAGATGAGGAAACTGAGGCAAACAGGGTTAAGTGACTTGCCCAGGATCATACAGCTAGAAAGTGTCTGAGGCGAAATTTGAACTCGGGAAGATGAGTCTTCCTGACTCCAGGACCACCACTTTTTTCCACTGCGCCACTTAGCTGCCCTTCATCTAATAGTATAGTAATCCTGTTAAACCAACAAGAACTGACCTTCCTGAAGCCATGAAACTTCATGAAGCTCTTTGCAATCATTTCTTCTTTTACTAATTTAAAGAGGGCTACATGGAAGGAAAAGTGGGTTTGAAATCAGAGGACCTTGGTTCAAACTCCAGTTGTATAGCACTGGGCAAGTAAGTTCTTCTCTAAGGAGCTGAGTTTCTTCATCTATAAAATGAGGGTGTAGGGTTAAATGATGTCTAAAAATCTTTTTCTGCTCTAAATCCTTCCATCCTACGAAATGTAAAATTCTACACTTTAATTTTTAAAAATCAATTGGACATAATAGACAAAGCACAGCTAGAAAATCACTTACATAAAAATGATCTGGATATTTTACTGAACTTCAAGATGAATATGAATCAACAGGGTGAAATTGCACATACACATGCATGCACACATGTGCATGCGCACACACACTCACACACACACACTCCGTATTAGGCCACCTTAATAAAAAACTTTGAATCCAGAATGAGGGAGGTGATAATCCAACTGTCTTCTGTTCTTTTCACTTCCTATCTAGAGTAATGCATTGCGTTCTGGGCACTACATTTTAGTAAGAACATGAACCAATCAGAGCACATCCAGTGGACAGAGAGCCAATGGTGAGAGAATCAGGAAGGATATTTTTTTAAAAAATCAATTGAAAGAATCAGGGATGTTACCCCAGTGAAGAAAATAATTAAGGGGAGTATATGAGAGCTATCCAATAATGAATTTTTATAGCACTTTAAGGCTTACAAAGTGCCTGATAAATATTATTTCTTTTGATCCTCACAACAATGCTGAGAGGTGGATGCTATTATTATCCCCATCTTACAAATGAGGAAATTAAGGCAAACAGAGGTGTCTGGGTGCAAATTTGAACTTAGATCTTTCTGACTTCAAGTTATCACCGAGCTTCCTATCTTCAAGCATTTATCTGAAGAACTGTCATGTGGAAGAGGACTTAAAATAGTTTTACTTGGCACTAAATGGTAGAACCAGGGTCCACAGGTACAAAGCCAGCTGCAGAGAGCTAGATTTTAATTCAATATGAAGAAAAACTTCTTAAGAATTAGAACTATCCAAAAGTAGATCAGTAGCCCTTTTGAACAGAGAGACATTATCTTATGGTGGATAGGGCCCTGGACCTTGAGTCAGGCAGACTTGGGTTTGAATTCCACCTTAGACACTGACTAGCTATGTGACTCAGGGCAGGTCACTTAAAACTTGTCTCAGTTGCTGCTTCTGTAAAATAAAAGAGTTGTACTCAGTGGCCTCTAAGGTCCCTTTCAGCTCAAAATCTGTATAATCATATGACCTTTAAAATTAAGAATCATCAATGGAGGTAGTCTTTAAAAGGACTTTGTATAACCACTAAGTGGAGGAATTATAGAAAAGGTCCTTCTTTGATTACTAGTTGGACAAGATGATCTCAGAGCACCTTCTGATTCTATAAAAACTACATTTGGCCATTTGGAGTAGAAAAAGAGAAGTAGATGAGAGATAAAGAAGGAAGGAAAGGAGTATTTTGGCCACAGATAGGAGGAAACAAAAAAAATATTAAGTGAGATGTAAGGGTGCTGGGCAAGGGAAATCCATAAATTTGATTAACATCCCTAAATTTAGGTTAGCATTGTTTTGAATTGTTTTAAATGTCATTTTCATTAGGACACAATATATAGGAATATGCAGGGGGGGAAAAGGATTGTTAAGTACAGACATATGTTTTTTTTACTCAATTCAGGAGCTATTTATCTAGTGTCCATCTACAAAAAAAGGAAAATAAATACTGAATTATTAAAATCACAAAAATATATGGGACCTTCCTTCAAAAATATCATCAGTCATTTACTCATTCATTCATTCCTGACTTCACTCAAGTCACTCGGAACCTCAGTATACTTATATGTAGAATGGAGATGGCTAAAGAGGATTTAAATGAGATAATAAACATAAAAAATGTTGCAGACCTTAAAGCACCATATCAGGGGTTCTTAAACTGGGGTCTGTGATTTTGTTTGTTTTTTTTAAAACATTCTGGCAACTGTATTTCAGAGTAATTAGTTTCCTTTGTAATCATATGTATTTTATTTTATTCATTTAAAAATATTAAGCTGAGAAGCCCATTGGTTTCACCAGACTGCCAAAGGAGTCCATGAAAAAAAAAGTTAAGAACCCCTGTAATATATAAATGCCATCATCATCATCATCATATTTACTCCACCCTATAAGATCACGTTGGATTGAGAGGCGTAAGAGACCTTAGAATTGTCTAATCCAGCTCTTCATAATACAGAGGAAGAAATTATTGCCTAAATAGATTAAGAGATTTGCCCAAGACCATAGAGGTAATAAGTAATATCTAGTATTTCAACCAGCCCCTCTAACTTCCAATCCAATGCTCTTTCAAGAATATCAGACGAATTTGTTGTGAAGTTCAAATGAAGTAAGACAGGAAGGTAAGTACTTCATATTGATGAAGGTTATAATGATAATGGAGGAAAGAGATTTGCCTTCTGTACCTCATGCATATAGGAAATAACTCTTTCCACCCTCTGTTGTTGTTGTTGTTGTTGTTGTTGTTGAGTAGTGTCTGACTCTTAGTGCCCCCACTTGGGGCTTACTTGACAAAGATAGTGGAGCACCTTACCATTTCCTTCTCCAGCTCATTTTTCAGATGAGGAACTGAGGCAAGCAGAGTTAAGTGATTTGTCCAAGGTCACACAGCTAGTTAATGTCTGAGACTGGATTCGAACTCAAGCAGATGAGTCTTCCTGATTCCAAGCCCAGTGCTCTATTCACTGTGCCACCCAACTGCCCCCTCTAGCCTTCCTCTTCACTTAGTGGCATCCAGACCTCCTTTGCAGGTTTAGATCTTTTCCACTCTGCCTCTTTCTAAGAAAGCCTCTTTTAATAGTTTTGTAGTCTCTCACACAGTAGTTTGGATTTTCTGTGATTCAGCAAAGTGTAAACTCTTTGAAAGCAAAGATAATTTCATTTTTGTCTTTGTATCCCCAAAGCCTAGTAGAAAGCCTTGCACACAATAGGTGCTCATTAATGTTGGCTGAGTAGAATAGGAACAGCAGATCATATTTATTGACAAGATTAATCTTCATGAATTAATTTCTTTTTTTTTGTCTGGACTTGCATGTTTTACAATAAAAAAGTTACATAACTTTTGCTCAAATAAGACTACCTTCCTCTTTCCTAACTTTGGACCCTCACAGTTTATCAAAATAAGGATAACAGAAATACCTGTACTGTATGTATAAGCATCTTTTGCCAAAAAGATAATACAAATATGTAGAAAGCTTTTGATCAAAAAAATTTGAAAATTTCCCCTGTATTTTAAAGTTATTAATGTCCTCACAGAAATTAGGCCAAGTTTTAATTGACACAACCAAACTCAGTGCTAAGCAACAGCAGCTCATATGATAAAAAAGCAAAATTGTTCACTATACTCCCTCTTTGGGAAAAATAAGTATGAATCTTTCTGAGATCTGAATTGGCAAGTCACCAAATTGAGAGTTAGAAGGGACCTCATAAATGAATGAACAAGAATCCCTTTTACAGCCAACAAATGGCCATGCAGCCTTTACTTGAAGCCCTCCAGTGGGGAACACCTCCTGTGACTGTGCAGTTATGGCTTAGTTTCTCTACAATCAATTCTAGGTACCTACCAGGAATGTGTTTCCACAGTGCCCACACACTACTCGTGTCCCTTCTGGTTGGATTGGTAATGCAGGCTGAGCAGGCTGTTCTTCGGGAATTAGCATTACTGGGCCCAGATTAATAATGCGTCTACTGTGAAAAGAAAATTAAACAGCTTCCTCATCCCACAAAGAGACTGATGAAGGAAAAGATTTAAAGACTCCTGAGTTATATAGCATATGGTACCAACATACTTTCCACATACACAATAAATGTAAAACTGTCATTCAGTGTTGAAAGGATAATTTTCTTTATCACGAGAGCTTAGCAAATCTTTTATAGGCCAGTCCTGATCCATCATTTACTAAGATCCTGAAAAATAATTTTATTTCTATTCCCAGGTTTTCTTAATTATGAAATAGGAGGGAAAATATCTGATATTCCCTGAAAGCACCAGAAGGGTATTCTCAGTTTGTAAGAAGATCACATAAAATACAAACTGTCAAGTAAAAAAAGCATCAATATTAACTTTATGAGGGAATAAAGTTATATTTTATATGTTCCATTGTCTTAGTGCCTATATTTTTAAAAGTTACAAGCATGACTAATACTTTCCAATATTACGGTTTACACCATATCAACAGGAATTTCCATACCATGTACACGGTAGAGCTCCTATTAAGTTACAACCAAATTGCTGCATAAGTGAAAAAATTGGGCTAGTACTATAAATAAATTGCATCTTCTCATTCAATAAACCCAAATTCAATTCAGTTATTTGTGGTAGTAAGGAGCACTGCATAATATGGATACCAATAAATAATCAACCAATGTCTTTTTGGACAACAAGTTCAGCCTCTTTTTGCTATCAAGCCTTTCATCAGTGCTTCCAACAGATAAGAAAGTGGGGTGCTCCTTCCTCCTTCAGTTTGCTTTGTGGTAGAATTACAAATGACCCATGAAATCTCCAAAATTCAGGAAAGCAGAGAAAAAAGAGATGACTCAAGGTCCTGATATTCATGGATACAAATATGCTCATAATTACATTTATTGTGCATATATATTAATACTGGTAAAGTGTGTACAGTATATGCTTCTTCACACACTATGAAATACATCAATTAAGCACTTACTACTTAAAAGTAATTGACATGGTAAAGGTGAAGTAATTTGACATTTTTGAGGATGTCAACCTAACGAGTCAGAATGATTTAACTCAAGTTACTAAATAAATAGTTATTTAGTATCTAGGAAATTTTCATCAGTTATTCAAGAAGATTATGTACACAAAGGCAGTTCTGCCCATAAAATCCATAGTTCACAGCTCCCATTTAATGTAAAAGAAAAGTGAATTACTGAAGTTATGTATCTTTAATTCTTACCAGTTGGGTCTTGGACATCCTATTCGTCGAGATGTATCCTTACAGATGAGGAGACAATTACACGGACATCTAACATATTTCTTCCCTGTTGGTGGGTTTTTGATTGGCTACATAAGGTGGGGGGGAGACGCCAAACATAGGTCATGAAAAAGAAGAATAGTAATAGTAACATTTATATCATGTTTTAAGGTTTACAAAGCACTTTACAAATATAATTTCATTTGATCCTCATAACAAACCTGACAGGTAGGCACTATAATTATCCCCATTTTACAGATTAGGAAACTATGGCAAGTAAGAGTTAAGCAACTTGCCTAGAGTCACACGGCTAGTAAGTATCTGAGGCCATATTTGAATTCAGGCCTTCCTGACTCCAGGGTGTCTATCCACTCCACCAGCGGGCTGTCACTAAACAGAGAATAGAAAGTCATACCTTTGTTACCTTTTTTTTTTGAATTGTATAAGGTACCTCCAAACCTGAGATTCACTAGTGTACATCAAAGCTCAACTTAATTTAGGCAAGTTCCTATTTCTAATGTTATCAGATCATTGAAAATTTTTAAAATAGAAAACTTTCTGAAAGGCTGGAAAAGTCTTTATCACTTAGTTAAAATTTAAACAACCAGAAGCTAGAACACACTTTGGGAGTAGACAGAAAGAAGAATATGGGGTAAATGATTTATAAAATTACCATGTACTACTTCCTGCCATTCTACACACAAGATATTCTATCTTCCATCTCTTGGAATTAATAAAAACTGTCCCCTACACCTGGTATGCACTTCCTTTTTCACCTCTGCCTCTTAAAATTCCTAGTTTTCTTCAAAGTTCAACTCAAATTCCCCAGTTGCTAATGGAGAGAAAGAGGTGGGAGGGGGAGAGAGAAAGAGGGAGAAAGGGAGACAGAAACAGAGAGAGACAGACCCAGAAAGAGAGATGGGGAAAAGAGGGGAGGGAGAGATAGAGCATACTTACACATGTACATGTGTCTACCCCCAAAAGAACACATGCTTCTTGAGTCCAGGGACTTTTTCGTTTTGTCTTTGTAATCATAGTCCCAGCATAGCATCTGACATATATTTTATGTTTAATAAATGGTTGTGGATTAAGTGTGGTATAAGAGAACAAGGGAATGGAATAAGCATTTACTAAGCATCTATGATGTACTAGGTACTGCGCTAAGCACTTTACAAACATCTCATTTGATCCTCATAATAAACCTGGCGAGTAGCTACTATTATGGACTGCATTATGGAGCTGAAGAAGGCACACAGAGGTTAAATATTTTGGCCAGATTTATATAGCTAGTATTTCAACTCAGATCTTCCTGATTCCAGGCCCAACTGTCTTATATTCTAGTCCCACTACCAGCACAAACAAGTGACCCTGGAAAGGTCACATAACTTCTCTGGGATTTCAGGCTCCTTTACTGTGAAATGAGAGGATTAGGTAACTTCTAAGGTCCCTATCAATTCTAAAACTCTGTGGTTCCTTTGATATCTATGTATATTTAAATATTCTAATTTATATCTGTCACATTCTCTCCAACCATACTGAAACCTTAATTCATGCTCTCCTCACCATTCATTTGGACAATTTTAAGAGGATCACAGAATAAATCTGGAAGCTCAAAGGTACCTCATAGGTCATCTGGTCCAATTCCCACTCTTATTTTACAGATGAGTAAACTGAAGTCCAGAGTTGAAATGACACAGGTACAATATGACAGTGTTGGAAATGGAACCAGACCTTTTCACTTCAAATCCAACAAACATCTTACGCTACCATGTTTCCTCCCTGACCCCTAAAAGACACCTTATTGATCTCCCTGCATCCACTCTCTTCAATTTATTCTTCACACTGCTACCTAAATAATTCTCCCAAGATACAAATCTGATCATGACCAAGTCATTCTCCTGTTAAAAGAGCTAGAGTGGTCTCCAGTTGCCTCCAAATCCAAACTCCTTAACCTGGAGGGCCCCACATCCTTTCCCAGGCATATTTCATGTTATTCCCCAAGAGGCTATATACATCCCCAACAAACTGAGCTGCTAGCTATACCTTGAACTCGAACCTCCATATTGTACTTCTTGTACATCACCCAAGTCATGCCTACCATAGAGTATGTACCCCTTTCCTACTCTCTACCCTTCAATCTCCCTATCTTCCTTCAAGGCTCAGCTCCTACTCCCGCCATGAAGCTTCAAATGATTCCTCCCATTTATTACTGGTCTCTCCTTCAAATAGGCCTAGAACATTTTTGGTTCCTCCTTTGCTTCCATCACTTCCTGTCTCTCATTACACTCATCTTTGTACATGCATTATCCACCTACTAGAGTACAAGCTCTTTGATGGTACAGTCTGCTTTGTTCTTGTTCCTTGCACATATTAGGTATTTAATAAATGTTGAATTGAATTGGGTTTCAAAAAGGTAACTTCACAGGTAGCTAGGCAGCACAAAGCACTGGACCCAAAGTCAGGAAGACTTGTTCAGCCTCAAATTCAAATTCAGCCTCAGATACTTCATAGCTGTGTGATCTTAGGCAGATCACTTAACCTCTGTCTGTCTCAGTTTCCTCATCCATAAAAATGGGAATAATAATAGCACCTATACCCAAGGATGCTCTGAGGATCAAATGAGATAATAATTATAAAACATTTTATAAACTTTAGAGCACTATTTAAGTGCTAGCCATTAGTATTATTATAACCATAAATAAACTATGCCAAGTACTATTTGGGTTTTAAAACATTCTGACAACTCTCTCTGGCCCATATAATTAATACTTGAAAAATTATGAAATCTACATACAAATTGGTACTCCAAATTATAGGCTATTGCTTTAATATCTCTTACCATAAAAAACTATCCAAAGAAACAGAATGCATGGGACCAAGGACCCTGGTTTTCATAAGATAATAATATTGGTAAAACACTTAGCACAGTGCCTGCCTGGCACATAGTAAGTGCTTAATAAATGTTCAATCCTTTCCTTCTCCTTGGTTAATAAAGAAAAACATATCTTTATTTGTCACTTATCTTTTCTGATCTGGCTTCACATATTCGCATATATTCTGGCCAAACTATACTGCTTGCTATTCCTCCAAACTAAACATTCTCTCCCACTGCTATATCTTTGCATAGATTGTCCCCCTTGGAATGCCTTCTCTCTTTACCTCTAATATTAAAATCCTGTTTTCTTCAAGGGTCAATGAAGGTAAAGCCTCCTACAAAAAGCCCTTCCTGATCACCTGATCAGTATTTAGTGTTCTCTCTCTCTCTCTGAATTATCTTGTATTTACATGTACTGAGATATCCTTCCAATCAAGTATAAACTCATTGAGGACAAGAACTATTTCATTTTTGTCTTTAGATTGCCACCATAATACCTTGTACACAATCTATGCTTAATGCTTATTGAATTATTTCTCCATGTCTAAAAAATCATTTTTAAGATGGTCTATGGCCTATTTTTTTTAAAGTTATCTGTCTCTTTCTTTGCTCTACAGTTGCTTCTGAATGGCTAGACATTTGTACTTCCTTGTAACAACTCACTGGGAGAGAACAAAAATTCCCACAGCTCTCCTCATCTCCCATCCCCTTCATTCAAAGATCATGTAATTAAATGAGTAACAAAACAGAGGTAGAAAATTCATTGGGGCCAGTGTTGAGACACAATTGGCATCACTCTTCTCTCTTGGGACAAAAAGAGCTGTCAAAGGTTTAGGATATTACAGGGAGTAATAATTATCTCCATGCAAAAACCTACCTTACTTGTAACCTTTACCATAAAACATTTTTTATATCACTCATTCTTCACAAGGATTGACAATGTAAAAATCTGATATAAACATATTTCTTCCAAGTACAGTGTCAACTCAAGCCTTCTTATTTTTCAGTTTACTTCAATTCAACAAATGTTGATTATGTACAAGGCACTGTATTAGTTTCTGCCCTCAAGGAGCTTATTAGGGTACAGGGCAGAGGGAAGTACTGATAATGGCACCACAGAGGAAAGAGAGTGTGATAAGGACAATGAAATAGGCCAGACAAAATGTTCTAACAAAACTTGGGGAAGGAGAAGCATTCAAGTGGGGGTGTAGGGAAAAAACAAAGTTCATCCTTTAGAATATGTGTTGTAAATCCATTAAACATTATCAAAGTGGATGTGTTTGAGTCACCAAACTATTGGTAAAATGGCTTTCAGTCTAGTTTCAAGAAGTAAATGATTATCTACACTAGTCAAGAAAACTCATTTGAGCACCCTATGTGCAAGAAACACATTGTAATAGTTTCACCCACTAGAGTGAAGCTACATCTCGCATTTACAAAACTGCCTGATAAAACCTTTTTATTATAAGTAAAAGCAGAAAATGATCTTAACTGTGATGGGAACAGAGTCTAACTAAGGACAATAAGTAATAATCTCACAACCTACTATTTGCTGATTTATTTCTGTAAGAAGACAAAACGCATTCCATTCAAAACAATCATGAGGACTTCTTAATTGATTTAGCTTCAGTAATACACTGTGGTCATTATAAAGAGATCCCAGTTTTTGTATTCCTGCCCAACTACTACTGGGTAATGCTACTGATACACTTCATTTGGAAAAGACTTAAATGCCAATTTAGGCTTTCTTGAGGGGAGGTTTGTGGAGGGAGAGCCCTTACCGTAGCTTCATTGCAGACTGTACATTTCACTACATGCTGGTGAAGCTTGCCATCCAAATTGATTAGAGATTGGCACACACGGCAGTTTATTATAGGAACACCACTGGCATCTGGACTAGCAATGGCTGTGTAAGGAGGTGGGAGTTCCGCTGAAAAGACAGGAATCAAGTCAATAAGTATTTATTAAGTGCCTACTTTATGCTAGGTACTGTACTGAGTGTTTGGGATACAAAGAAGGGGAGTGGAGGGCTCAGTTCCTGCCCTTGAGGAGCTTACAATCTAAGAAGAATAAGCATTTATTAAGTGACTACTCTGTTCCAGAAACTGTATTAACTGCTTTACAAATATTAATTTATTAGATCCTCACAACAAAACTGACAGGTAGGTGCTATTATTATTATTCTTCCCAATTTACAGATGAGGAAACGAACAGACAGAGATTGACTTGCCCAGGCTCACACAGCTACTAAGTGTCTGAGGCCAAATTTGAACTCAGGCCCTCTTGATTCTAGGTTCCATGTTCTACCTACTGTACCACCTAGATCCTTAACGCAGGGAGACAAGATGCAAACAACTATGTACAAACCAGATCTACACAGGACAAATTGGACATAATCTTAGAGAAGATACTTAGAATTAAGTGAAAGTAGGAAGGGTTTCTTGTGGAAGGTAGGATTTTAGATAATATTTTAAAAAGTCAGGGAAGCTAGGAGGTGACAAAGAGGAGGAAGATAATTCCAGGCATAAGAATAAAATATGATGTGTTCAAATATGTCTGACTTTTCATGACCTCAGTTAGGGTTTTCTTGCCAAAGATACTAGAATGATTTGCCATTTTCTTCTCCAGCTCATTTTACAGATGAAGAAACTGAGGCAAACAGGGTAAAATGACTTGCCCAGAGTCACTCAGCTAGTAAGTGTCTGAGGCTACATTTGAACTCAGGAAAATGAGTCTTCCTGACTTCAGTCCAGCATTCTATCCACTATGCCTCCTAGGTGCCCAGGCATAGGAGAAAGGTAGTGGTAATGTAGGAAGATGGAATGTCTTGTGTGAAGAACAATAAGGATGCAGGTGTTGCTGGATCATAAGTTATAAGAAAACTGTATATGCAGGTGAGGGAGGGAATGTCATTATTAAGGGGCTAAAAGGGAAATGAGATTTTTAGAGAAATTATGCCTATTGTGAATACAGAGTCACTATAGATGACTCTTAAATATTCTGTAGGGATGTTCAAGGAACAAAAATCTGCTATGTTTTTAGTCCTGTTCTTTAAATAAGTCACCTAGACTGGGTTCCCCAAAATTAGTTTCAGGAGACTAAAACAAATATAGGTATAATAAAATAATCCTAGCTTTGAGTTCATGTCTAATTTTCTTAAGGCTTATCCACAATACCCCAGTTTCTAAAAACTGCTTTTCAAACTTTATGGTCAAATCTAGTGAACAAATTCACTCCTTATTTCAAAAGAAAGGTGATTAAAATTTTATTAGTACCACTCCTTTTCCCATTATATTGCAACCCCTATGACCATTGTTAGACAGCTCCTTCATTGTTGCATCCTCTTATATACAATATCATCATCTAAAGGTCAACTTTCTGCATAGAAGCCTCTCCAAACTTAGCCAATTTAGTTCTTAATGGCAGACACAAAGTCTATATTGTCTGAGATGGTCATGGATAATAAAATGATCCTAGCTTCCAACTCATAGCTGTTACTGGGCCTCTACCAGAAGCTTTTCCAGCTACAGTCCAGTATAAGTCAGTCTGGCTATTCTGTGCCTAATGCAAAAACCTTGGCCCAATATTCAAAGAATATTTAAAATCTGCAGAAAATGCCTATGATAGCAAATCAGTGTTATGATCTTATTTTGCAGCTGTAACTGTTTTTTGTTAAGTAAAGAAACCTTCAACCTACTACTTCTAGGCTTATGTGGTAGATTTGTACAGTTAGACAATTCTTCAGGAAAAAGATTTAATGGAGAAAAAAAGGGATCTCTCTTCCCTTATCATATAGTCTCATGCTGGCATCCTGTGTAGTCCTGCTCCCAAAAGGTGCAGAAGTAGAGCATCCTTTTATAACCTTGGCATCTTGGCTCTTCCTCGACATCTCTCCCCGTTCCACCCACCCACCCACACACACACACACATATACACACTCACTTTAGCATTCTTCCTCATCTTAAGAACACACAATCCTGCTATGGATTGCATATAGTTACTAAAATAAGGACTAAAAAGAGGACAATTCACAAGAGGCAAAGATCTGGGGATGCTCTTTGAGCCACAGTGCCATATTGGGTTTGACAACATCCATAAACTGGGGCTTTGTGGGAGTGCCAAGTTGGGATGATGAAGGTTCTGGTAAAACTGCGATGTCAGCAGTTTAAGGAATACACACAAAAGGGGCAGATACAAAGCTTTGAACCTCAGCCAGGGAAGCAGGGAAGCAGTATAACCATATTGGAACAGAATAGTTTCCTCCTCCTCCAAGGAAATAAGGAAAATCAAGACAGACTGAGGCCCAAATGACCACTGACAGCCTTACATGATAAGTCATATAGATCAGATAAGGCACAGTTTTAGAGTCATAAGTATTCATCTTCATATAATGGAGCCTGAGTACTGGAGTTTGAGAATTAAGGAGTAGAAATGCTCTCATATCCTTTTAGTACCATTTTAAAAACTAATTATCTATGCTACATTTCTCTAAACCAAGAGTTTTTAACCTAGGTTAAATGGACAAATTTCAGGGGGGCCATAAACTTGGATGGAAAAATATTTTGAAAACTGTCTTTCATTTTAATTAGTCGTCTTTGCAATCCTTCGCAATGCATTTTATTTTAATAATTTTACAAATATAGTTTAGAGAAGAGGTTCCTAGATTGCCAAAGAGGTCCAACACACAAAAAGTTAAGAAGCCCTTTTGTAAACTATCCTACTTTTTTGTATATAAAGTTCCAGATCTAAGATAATCATGAATATATAGTTCAGATATAAACCATCCCTGAGGGGTCTAAAAACTTTTCCAAAATGCCTGATTTTTATAAAGCATGTATTTTCTTGCAGTAAGGCTAGTGTTGTATTGAGTTTGTATAGAAGCAGAATGAAATAACTCTGGACTTATAATCAGGAAAATCTGAGTTTACATTTGCCTCAGGTACTTAATAAGCTGTATGATCTTGCTAATAATAACTTGCCTTTATCTAGTGTTTTAAGGTTTACATAATACTTTACATATGTCATGTCATTTGATTCTCACAGAGTAGGTGCTATGATTATGCCTCTTTTACAGATGAAGAAACTGAGGCTGAGACCTGTGACGTGACTTGAGCAGGGTAATATAGCTACTGAGTATCTGAAGCAGGACTGCAACTTTGTTATTCCTGGTTCCACATCCACCTAGCTTACCTCCTCTCTGTTTCAGTTCCTTATCTATCAAATGGGGGTAAATAATAGCTGTAGTATCTAAATCTTTTGGGAAACTGTGTATGTATGTGTGACCCTCAAAAACATTAAAGTTCTTTATAAATGTCAGTGTTGTTATACTGTTAATATTAAAACTAAATGATATAGTATAAAAGAGAGAAGACTTAAATAAAGTATATAGCACTACCAATGACAAGGGTAATACCCAAAAGAGCCCCTACTATAGTGCAAAATGCAATCGAAACTGCTCATAATAAAAAGAAATAGTGATGGCATAATTTCCCAGTAGCAGAGACTAAATCGACTAAACTAGCTTCTAGATTTTATAATGAAGTAAAATGATTTCTTTCTAGAGTGGTAAGTAATGTTGCCTTAGGACTTCAGCATGTCACTATTGTAACTAAAATAAAGATGAGAAAAAGAAAAAAAAAGTTCAGACATTCATTACTGTATGATCCTGGGCAGATCACTTAATTTCTGTGTGCCTCAGTTTCCTCACTTGTAAAATGGAACTAATAATAGCACCTACCTTTCAGGGTTGTTATGAGGATGATTGAGATAATAATTGTAAAGCACTTAGCACAGCTCCTGGCACATATTAAACATTGCATAAATGTTAGTTATTATTTTTAATAGTGGTAGTAACATTCCATTCTAATTCATAACCAGCAGAACTTCTATCACACCCAAATCCCAGCAAGGTAGAGATGATAAAATGACATTGTGACATTTTTCTGAGGCTTATAATAGACTTATTGAAAGTCAAACCTGAATTGTGGCTGGATGAAGAAATGATACAAAAATATTCTTCATTGGATCATAACTTCACACCTGGAAGGGTCTTTAGAGACCATCTAGGTCAACCTCCTCATTTTACAAATGAGGTAACTGAAACCCAGAGAGGTTAAAAACAACTTGCTCAAAGTCACACAGGTCATGAGTAGCCAAAGTAGAATTTGAAAGACAGTTTTCTGGCCCTAAGTCAATCACAGTTTCCACTGTACCACGCTGCCTTTCTATTTCTTAATGAAAGCTGAGAATGCCGTATAATGTGGCTTTGCATAATACAACATATGTTTTTTGTTCTTATTTTTAATGTATGCTTTTTTTGTTTTTTACATCATATTCATCTTAATAGCCATCCCTTATAACAAAGATTTAAAAAGAAAAAGTTCAGTTAAAAACAATAAACATATCAACTGTATCTGACAGTATATGCAACATTCTACATGTATATTCACTCCTTCTGTAGAGAAGAGAGAGAGAAGCATTGCCACAATTCCTCTCATAATAATGCTCATAATTCCTACTCATAATAATTACACCAAGTCCAGTTTTGTTTTCAGTGTTCTTTTCATTTACGTTGTGGTAGTCCTTATCTGCATCGTTCTCCTCATTCTGCTTTTCATGGTGCATCAATTCATGCAAACCTTCCCCATGTTCCTCTGAATTCATCTTTGTCATTTTTTACAGTGCAGTAGTTTTCTATTGTATTTATATACCACAGTTTGGTTAGCTATTCCCTGATTAATGGGTACCTACTTTATTTCCAGTTCTTTGGTACCAAAAATAGTGTAAGGTAGCATATTTAAAAATAAAAGCACAGGTTGGAATTCAATTTTTAAAAATTCAACAAGCATTTATTCACTAGTATGTTCCAAAGTAATTATGCTAGAAATTGAAAATATTAAGGTAGAAATAAAATAGTTCCTGCCCTACAGG